AAGGAAGTCTTAATGATATTCCCAGGACCCCCCAAACTGAGGAATCCCTTTGTCAGAAGCCTCTTCTGGTTCAAGAGAAGGTCAGAGAATAATACGTGAACTAAGGAGTCAGAAAGAAGAAACAATGCTAGCTTCTCAGCTTTCCTAGATATACCTGCTTTTGGAAGATAATTATTCCAATACAAATGATTCTTTGGTGTACAAATGAGCTGAAGAAAATCATCAATCTATTTCTGTGTCAGGTAGAACTTGGTGGGTCCTGTCCAGACTATTAATTTCATGGAAAATAAGCAACAGAGGAAACAGATAAATCATTAACAGAGTGGAGAGCAGACCCAGTGAATTCCTACTTTCTCTTTCTTGCAGAGAGCAAAATGACAAAGTATTTATGTCCCACTGTCTTTGATATCTGTGTTTATCTCATTAGAGGAAAAATGCTTCTGAAACCACAAGGACATGTTTTATTTCAAGTTTCAAAAATTCAATCCCAAGTGATTTACACAAGTTCACATTAGGCATACAGAATTATAATCTTCACATTTCTGAAATTCTATCATTTTAAATTTCATAAAAACAAAACACTACAGCATTAATTTTCCTTTTGTTTATTGCAGGCAATGTATAATATTAGAATTTGAATTACATAAACAAGGTACATATATTTGAAAAGAAATGTTAATTGTTTTAAAGAAAATTTTAATTAAAAAAGTAAAGTTAAGGCTAGCAAAAACAGTTGGATATAACAGTTTGATGTAATTTCAATGATGTATTTCTATTCAAAATTAATTTCTCCAAAGTTCTACATAAGGTATTCACTAGTCTCATCAATGTGTATTTATTAAAAACAATGTTTTCAGTAACTGAAATAAGCATTGTATAATGTTTCCAACTGAGCCTCTTTCCATCTGTCCTCTTATTTTACTGTTTATCCAGTACTTTAAACATAAGAATTACACTTGGAACAGAATGGCTGAGCATCCCCCAAAGGGTACAGTGCTCCATTTTGCACTGTATTTTCTGTCATTTGCCTACCAATGCTAGCAGCCTTCCCAAAGTGCTCACCCCATAACCTACTAAGAGTAGTTATTGTATAATCCACTATAAAATAACTTCACTACTTGATATAAACTCTATAAGGGCAGGCATTTTTATTCATTGTGTTCATTCCTGTATCTTCTGTGCCTAGAACAATTCCTGACACCACTATATATATATATATATATATATATATATATATATATATAATCTGTTGAGTAAATATACTGAGTGAATGAATGAATGAAATATTATCAGTCCCATTGTACAGATTAACTAAGTCTCAGAGAATTACATAAAGGTAGCAGGTGGTAGGGCCACAATTTAATGTTAAGCCAATGTCCAGGATAGGGAGGTGGTGTGGAATAAAGAACCTCACTTTAGGTCACCTTCTGTCATGTCCTGAGCTCCTTATACAATCCATACCACCTTCCTACCTTTCTGCCTTTCTGTGGCTTTTACATATGAAGTCTTCTTTCAAACCCCTGACAGCCCCAGTAGTACTGAGGGGCCCGAGGCTCCATGCTTTAAGTCCATTTTCTCAAGTTCTTACCATTAGGCTCCCTCAACTTCTCTACCCTTCTATTGCTAGGTGGAGGATACCTTTGCATACTTATCAGAGACCTTCCTTACTTTGACCAGCAAAGCTTCCTCGCACTAAAAGTCAGCCTAGTAGAGTACCATAGGGCTCTAGTCTTGGTTCTCAATGGGTTTATTAATAACTTCACTTCTATTCTCATTGAAGGTCCTGGGTGAAGGTCCAATCTAAACCTTCGAGGGTCACTCTGGGCTAGAAGTGAACAAGAATGATGATGAAAGGCTAACAATCAGAATTTGCTTATTTTTCCCAACTACTTGTCCCGCTAAGATCGATGCTTTTCTGGCACATGTGATTTCTCTTAAATAGATTAAGACTACAGAGCCTACATATTTGCTTTCTCAACTAGTCTCTCACTGTCCACATTGACTGTTTGTATCTCCTCTCCATTTCTCAAAAATACTTGCCTCCAGTGGCAGGAAACGCAACCAATGGTGAGAGTATTTTCCTTACTATCAGCTCTACATTTTCCTCTGTGATGGTCACCCACCTCCTGGCTTTGCCCTCTAAGTCCAAATGAGGAAAGGCTGACCTCTTTTTCTCTCAAAAGCTCACTACATATATCAGGTGGCTCTTGAAGCCCTTTCTCGCCCCTCCCCACTCTCCATCTGAGGCTACTTTTTTTCATTTCCTATTACTAAAATTTCTAAATGTTAAGACTCATAAACAAGGTAATTCAGAGAAGAAAGTAAGAATGGAACTTGAGACCCTAGCTATCCAATTTTTTAATTGAATGTGATGTCAATTTCTAATTATATATGACTCATTTAAGAAATTCATACCACAGCCACAAATGTTACATGTCAAAACAAAGGTAATCATGTTTACCTAATATGGGTGCCAAAATCATCTGTTTGAGAAAGGAAAATGTCAGCAGTATTTTCCTTTCTCAAATTATTCATAGAATTTTAACGCTGCTCATTTTATTCATTCACTGCACAGATGAGACTGAGATCCAGAAGACTTCGGTAACTAGCCCAAGGTAGGTTAGTAGCAATGTTGAAAGGACTTGAGGCATTTTTGGCCATCTCCCAAATAACAAATTATGATTCTATAATGCACTGATGTCTGTCATTTTCTCCAAGCTCATGTCTTAATAATGTCAATTCATTAACTTCCCAGGAAGCTAAATTTACATTGTTATTATTACAACGATGATAGATTTCAGAACTAGAAAATTCCCCCGAAGAATAGACAGCCTTCCTAATATTATAACAAGAAACTGAAGGCCAAGAAGATCTGGCCACCTGTTGGAGGCTATCCTGCAATTTGGCAGCAGGGCCAACAATGGAGCCCATGTCTTCTGATTACAAACCAGGACTTTTTAGTGTTCTGCATAAAGGATTAGCTAAACACCATCAATACTATAAACCTGACATTGTTTTAATCTAAAACAATCATACCTAGAAAAAACAAAATTTTAAAGTATACAAATTCTACCTTATGGATGTACTAGGCTAGACAACCATTTGTCAGAGAGATGGCAGAAGGGAATTTGAACAATGAGTGGGAGGTTGGATTCAATGACCTCTAAAGTCCCTTCTGTCTCTAGGGTTATTTGATTCTGGACTAACCAGGAGCTAGGCACCTCAGCTAGCCAGGGGAACCTGCAGAGGGGGGTAATGTGCAGTGTCCTGTAGGTGTCCCTCTCCTGTGGTTGGGTTGGACTCTGCCCTGATGTTACAGGCATTACTCTATATCCAATTTACATGCAACCAAATATTCTAGGCACAGAAAGAGTGTAAGGAAATGCAGCTCTGTCATTTCAAAAGACAGACTACACTGCTTAGCTTTCTAAATTGCCTTGCCTAAATGAGCATTCCATAACTGAGCCTCCAAATCTAGCTTTTACAATTTGTTCATGTGCTATGCTACTATCAGAATTAATTATGCAGCATCTTCATGAAGAGAACTCAAATTTGGATGCAAGTTAGGAGAGTAATGAAAAAGGTGCACTTCCCAAAGGAAGGTTACTATGTATGATCCACCCTCCCCCCCCCCCCCAAAGCTTTGGAATCCTATGAATAGACAGGTTTCAGATGGCAGCCCCCAGCTGAGCTAGCCATAGGAAGGAGGAAGTCAACACGTTTGAGAATTTTAGAATATGCCAACTAACAAGATTCTGAAGGCCAAAATATTATTAACCCCCTCCTTTCTAACAATTCCATTCCAAACTGGGATTCAACACAAATCTGTTCATTTGTGTTCCTGAATGGCTACTAAATACTAAAATGTACTGATTTTAGACTTCTTCTTTTTTTGTTAGTCCAAGAGAAAGAAGATTTATTTTTTGCTTCTCAAAAAATTTTACATTAAGGGTGGAGCTCTGAAAGTTAGAAAGGAGCTTCCCCAATAGAATTGTCCCATTGAATATTTTTACATGAATGAGATTATTTTAAAAAATCAAACTATCTGATCACATGCATGGGGCCCAGGTGTTGCATAGATTTCAGAAGAGCAAACTGATGCTCTACAATTCAGTGCCAAATTACAAAACAACAGAAACAGCCTTACAAGCTAGCACCAAAGTAAGAGAGTGGTTATGTAGAGATTCCATGTGCAAATCCAGAAAGCTCTACTTTCAAGGGTTGGGGCAGGTTCTCTCCTCTCCTCACCCTGGTGTGTCTAGACACTGAGCATGGTGTGCAGTGTCATCACCAAGGCTGAAAAAAGTAGATATCCGATGTGCAGTTCAGCTGCCTCCACCAAGGCGCTGAGGGTATCATCTGAGGTCTAATTCATAAGAACCATGCACTTAGGTTTGGAGGAAGTTTCCCCAGGCCTCCTTAGCTCCCGGTTAGCCAGCCAGCTACCATCCGTTCCTTCTGCTACCAACATCAGCTCAATACAAGAAAAAGCCCCTCTCCCCCTCTTCCCAGGTTTGCACTACTTTTCTTCCAACGGCATTTCTAAAGGGAAAGCACAACTTGAGGGAAGGAGCCTACTGGGAGCCCAGTGGGGAGCAGCTTCAGGGGAATGGACACAGGCGTTCCAAGTGAGGCAGGTGTACAAAGACAGCAGAGGAGGAGGGGAGGGAAATAAGGAGACAAAGCAAGGAGAGCGGCAGGGAAAGACCGGGGCTAAAGCACAGAAGTAAGGGAACGGGAAAAGGACGAACAGGATGAGGAGGAAAGAAGAGAGTCATGGAAAGAAAGAAGTGGGAGAGAGGGAGAAGAAAGGAGGAATGGGGAAAAGAAAGGGAGAAGGATAAAGACAGGAGGAGGCGGGGAAGGATGAAAGAATGTGCTGGGGAGCGGAGTGCAGGGACTCAGCGGGGAGGTGGCCGCGGGGACCGGCGCGCCCCTGGGGAGCCGCCGGCTGCGCTCCACGTGCGGCGCCCAGGGCGCCAGGCGCGCCTGCTGCTCACCTTTCAGGATGAGGGTGTCGATATCCCGGTCGATGCCCAGGAAGTAGCACTTCCTCCAGAGGCCCGAGTAGGTGGCGAAGAGTGGCCGGCCGCACTCAGCGTCCAGCCCACCGAGCCCCAGCAGCGAGCGCCAGGACTCGGGGTCCGCGCGCCCAGGGCCGCCCGGGAGCAGCCGGCGCCCCAGGGGGGGCAAGTCCCGCAGCGGCAGGTGTGACAGCGGCATCAGGCGGTTCTTCTGGTCCGGGGGGTCGGCGCCGGCGCGGCTGCGCTCGCAGCTCTCCTTGTGGCGCCGGGGGTCGGTCTCGTACCAGTGGTCGGTGAAGATGGCCGTGACGAGCAGCCCCAGGGAGCAGAGGCTGAGGCCGAGGCTGAGCGCCGTGATGAGCGCCCGCGGCTCCATGGCTTCCCGCCCGCCAAGCCCCGGTGGGCTCTCGCGGCGCCGCCAGACACAATGCACTTGGCCTCGGCTCTCCGCCTCGCTCCCTCCCCGTTCCCCCACCGGCCCCCCACCTCCCTCCCGCGGCCTCCCCGCCCGGCGGCGCCCGCGGCTTCCTCTCCTGCTCACCTCTCCTTCCCACTGCCCTCCTGCCCCGCCCCGCCCGCACCCGGCCCCCGCCCGCCCCGCCCCCACCAACCGCACTTTCCTGCCCTCCTCCTCCAGCCCCTCGGCGCACTCCGCGCCCCCACCCGCGCTCGCGCCCCTCGCCCCTCGCCCCTCGCCCCTCCTCCAGATCGAACCGTTCGCCCTTCTCCCCAGCGATCCCCCTTCGCTTCTCAAGCGCTCCGTGCCGCTCTCACTTTTCTCTGATCCTCCTCTCTCCCCTTAACCCTGTCCCTACTTTCCCCTTACTTTTCTTCAACTCTTCCTCTCGTCCCCGCTCATTTGTCTCTCTGCTTCTCGGCTCCGTGTCCCTTTCTGTCCCTGCCCTGGACTCGCTGAGCACACTGCCTCCGGTCCAACGACGTTCATAGACATCCACCAACATCAGACTCAGCCTTGTCACTTGTCCAACTTGATTTTGATCAGTGTCCCGTTTTGTGCCCCGAAGCAAATCCCATCCAGGTCGGGCTGCGTGGTAGTAGTTAACTCTTTGGAATCTTGATCTGGAGCTGAAGACCCTTCTCCCGCCCTTGGCAGCTCTCTGATGCCCTCCTCTTCCCCTCTCACGTGCCCATTGCAAGCTCTGAGCATGTTCCTGCTCCAGCCCTTCTTCTGAAAAAGACACTGGATGTCACTGGAAAGATAGACCCATGGCCAGAGGGTAGCTCCCACTTCACTTCAGCCTGCTCAGAGACGGACTCCTTTTCCGTTGGCCATCTCCTTCTCCTGCCAGAGTGGCATCCTCCTGGCATTTCTAGAAGGGCATAGGATCAATAAGCCCTTGCTATGGCACCTGCTTTGTGAGGTGATTACTGCCTCTGAATAAAGGAAGCCCCAGTAATAAATCAAAGTAATGATTTTTCTCCTGTGCAAGTTTCTTGCATGGGCTGGGAGGATCAACAACAAAGCAACGCTACACACCAAAGTCAACGCGTCAGCTCCCTTCTGTTCTTCCAGGGTAGCCAGTAGTCACAGATGTTAATTCTGAGAATGGCAGGCAGATTCACATTTTCTAAAATGAGGAAATGTTAGGACCCCAGGTACTGAAATGGTTAATTGCTTATGTGTGATTCTTACAACAGAGGTGCAATACCCTTGTGTCACTTAGTGCCTTTGGGACCATGTCAGACAGAAAACCATGCTGCATGAGCCCAAGGATGCCAATTCTTATGCTCTTTTGCTATAAAATATTAATGATCAAGAGATTATGAGGCATTCATTAGATGCTAAATGTCATTACTCCATGATTTAATGGGACTTATTAATTAGAGCCCCACATCAATTGGTATTAATGTGATTTATACATTTCCTCTGGAATGGCATCTGTAAAGATGGTATAAGAATCTTGCTCAGATATATTTTCATTGCTGTTTGTGCTCAGTATCTTCAGAGGGTATATTTCCAAGGAAGACTTGTACTCCTGAGCTGTTCAGTTCACAAATAGATCACTTAAACAAATCTTTCAGTCATATCGGATCCTCGTGCCCATTTCTGCTGACCTGACAATGTGAATTATTGCTTGGATTTTCTCACAGCTTCAGCAAGATCTATGGTAAGCTCCAGTCTAATTAAGGAAGACAAAGAATTATAATTTTAGTGTTCCTCTCACCTATAAGTTTTCCCTTAAAAGGAAATGCTAAGCTCATCAAAGGCGTCTTATCTGGACTTACACAAAAATTATGAGACTTAGAAGATTTATTTTATTTATACTCTATAATATGTGTAAAATCCTAGATCTTTATGGATATGCAGAGAGAATACTTTTAACTTTGAGCCTACAGTTGACATCTGAAATTCACTGAAGTTGTGTGTCCTTTTATTTTTTAAATTCCTCTTGAGATAAGATGATTACAAACCCTTAGCAAGTCTTTACTCCCTTTTCAAACACTGCAGAGGTGGGGAATGTCCAACCCTGAGCCCTATAAAGCCCAGGAAATCAATACCAGCTAACATCACACGCCTCAGCAAATCAGCCTGACCAAATATAGCAGTCTAATTTTTAAGTTGATAATTTTGTATGGCCCTCGAATGATGTTATAAATATCCAAATGGCCCTTGGCAGAAAAAGGTTCCCCACCCCCTCATTCTACCACATTTCAGAGTCACCTGATTATCTTTACACAACAACCCTGTCCTGAACTGGAGTAGACAAAAGGAAACCTCTTTTTCGGGCACATGTGATGAACTTAAAAGAACATAATGTTCTGCCTCATTTTCCTAGCCAGAATCCTTGGATCATACCCTCTTCAGAAAATAGCATTATCCTCGAAGTTCGATATGTCTATGTTTAAGACCAGTCTCGGCATATAATCCAAAAGTTACTATATGATGAATTGCTCTTGACAGTATTTCATTAAAAAGTGTCACACATTACAAATATGGGCGAGCAGCATGTAATGAGCGCACTGCCTCTGCTGGTGCAGCATTAACGCCATCAGCAGGGATGTGACATATGATGCGTACACAGGCTTTGTCACGGCAACTGCACATTGCTCCATCCGTGTTCTTAACATTTCTCATTTGGGTATTTCCAACAATGTAATGCCATCCACTAACCCCCACTCTGTTAGGGGAGTGGGGACTACAAAGATAAATAGATAGTTCCCATCTTCAAGATGTTCCCAGTGTAGTGGCAACAGACGCATAGACTGTTCTATGTGCTCCAGCAGAAATAAGAACCAAGTGTTGTGGGAATGCGGACAATGAAAATAACTAACTGTTTGAGGGAATCAAGTGGCAACTTAGAAACAGTAACTTTGGGGTTAGTTCTCAAAGGACAAATTAAACTTTACAAGGAGGATTAGATCAGGCATATTATCATTACAGTCAGAATATTAACTCTTTGATTTACATGTCTACCTAGCAAATTTGGAGGCTTCAATAGATCGGGCTACTGTAAAATAAGAATTTTTTTCTACATTTTTAAAATTATAAAGCTGTCATGTTCTAATGCCTGACTACAAGCTAAATACTCATAGATGAGTAAAAGCAGAAGTCTAAGCCAGAATACAGTCAATGGATGAGGGCATTTAGCCTGGCAGGGAGTCAACATGCTGCAAGATCAAATATCCAGCCAGACCACTGTAGCATGTCTCAGCTGTGGCTGTACGCTGACCTCCACGTTTTCAAATTTAGCGTGTTCTTCACTTGTCTTAAATATTTCTTGGCTGTCTCCAGATCTGATATCCCCCATGCATCCCTCTGAAAACAACAGTGTCCTAAAATGACAGGGATGGTGGCAGAGAATTTCCACCTGGGTGTCTCACTGTATGATTGAACTCCACATGTCCAAAAGTAAATTCTTATATTTCCCTATGGTTCAGCTGGCCCTCCCCACTTCCTTCTCTCTGTACTGACAAATCATTCAAGTTACTCAGACTCACTATTTTAGAATTATCTATCACATCCACAAAGTCATGAGGACTTTTCCTTTGACGTGTCTTTTATAGCCAAGTTTTCTTCTCTTTTCTACCACTTGCTGTCACTGTGCTCTCCCATCTTACATCTGGATTATTACAGTTTCTTCCTTGGACCCCACCATTCCAGGAGCAACCCTGCCTGCAGTTAGCCTGTCTACTGTTGCCAAATGCATCGTCCTCAAATGTTATTTTGATTGTGTAATCCCTCACCTCCCAGCTCTCCTCTCTAGGTTGGAGAGAGTTGTCTACCTTATTACTCCAGAGTCCTTCTTTGTTTCTGTCAGCATTCCCAGAGCATTTTAACATCACAACTGATGTGCTGGCCATGTTTAAATATTTAGAAAAAAATACTTTGCCAGCTCTAAACACACTTACCATAATATATAGGTGCTTTATGACATTCATTGTATCTCTCTTTACAATCAGGAAGTTTTTAAATAAATATTTCCCTATAAAAAGGTCTACACACACACACACACACACACACACACACACACACATACACATGCAGACGGGGTGGGAGAGAGAGAGAGAGATCTCAGATTATCACAGAGCTATGGTAATGATTTATTGGCATACCTATGCTAAACTAACCATAAATATTCTAAAAGGCTTTCACCCTTTGTCCTCGTGCCAAGACCAAAAGCAATACCCTTCTTTATTTCAAACATTTGGATTCCACAGGATTTACACAATGCAGTTTAACCTAAACCACACACTGGCTTTCAGAATGAAGGGGGATCACTTTTTCTCGGTAATTTTTTTTAGCATTTAATGTAAGGAGAGCATTCATTATGCTATGGATCTACAATATGTCATGTCTGTGAACAATTGAGGTATCTTGTGTTAAAGGCATCATTCTGACTTGTTTTCCTAAAACAATTTTATTTTTATTCAACAACATATATTGAGCACCTCTAATGTAAGTGCTAGGTCCCAGCGGATTATGAGGAGATGAGAAAACCAGGGCCTGTGCCCTCAGGGACTGTGGGTTAGTGGAGAAGGAAGAGAAATGCAAGAGGCTGAAAGAGGATTGGATTACCTGGGGTGAGTGCACTCACAGAGGTGGAAACACAATGCGACAGGGAGATTACTATCCATTGGGAAGAATACATCCAAACCAAGCAGATTAGGCGTTAGTTTAGTTAGACCTTGGAGGAAAAAGGGTATTTTGTATGTGTGTCAACTTAGTCCAGGGCAAAACAAAAAGTAACTTTCAGAAGTAGCACCTACCATGGTGCTCTTCTCTACCCCACACATGTGGAAATCATCTTGGCAGTGCCATTTTGTCACTAACTAGAAGCCTGGAACCATAAAATACCACAAACCCCCCAAAATAGATGGTGCTTGATAAGTTTCTCATTTCACTGACACACTACAGAATGTCACCGTTCTTTTTCACATTCCTGGATTAAGCTGTTTCCTTTTT